GAAACAGCCATCAAATGCCAATCACAGTCTGAATGTGAGTGACACACCACCTCGTACCGGTGTTTGGAAGATTTCTTTACTTTCATCCGAAAGTTTTCATGAACGCACTTTAATCCCACTGCGAGCTTAAGTGCCCTTCGAGTCAAAGGTTTGTAGAACTTTGACATGGGATGTAGGCTGGTAGGAAATGTTTCCATGTCTACTTTTGATAACTGGGTCCGTACAAGGTGGTGGATCGGGCATACCCAAAAAACTATTCCTTACCGGCTTGATATCTTCAGAATCGAAGTTATCGTCGTCTTTGGGTATGTTCAAAATTTCGGCAGCAACAGAAACATCTTCTACCATATCTACCTCCCACAACGGGTTTGACAGTTCGGGAGACAGGATCGAGTATGGGTTGGGAGACTGCATTGGACGCATGTTCAAGTCTTGAACAAAATAACTGTCAGGTTTAACGGTAACTTTTTGTTCAAGATATGAATTTTYCGCGCCATTGTAAGGGAAGAAGGTGCTTCGATTTTCACCACTTCCACCGCTAGGAAATAAAGTGCTCTGATTTACACCAGGAGCACAATCGGTAGGAAGAGTGTGCTTGGACCATATAGGTTTGCACCGCTAACGTCGAGGAAGAGTGTGCTCATAGCACCGGGGTAAAAAGTGTTTGGACCGCTCGGGTTTGCACTTGATGGATTCCCTCCATAACCTCCATTGTCGACCACATATAGTGTCAACATTTCTGGTAAAGTTTGACGAATGGCGTTGTGGAGGATTACCACATCATCGTCGTCCATAAACTGATATAACGTATTCGTTTTAAAAAATATATTGAAAGGACCACGTAAACTTAACTTTTTCGTCACACGTTTGACGACCCCAGAATACGTTATTGGCGAAGACAAACGTATTGCACATGTGGGAGAGGTTATCGGCAGGTACTCTAAAACACCATTTATATCTTGGAATAAACCGCCACTTCGAAGATACACACAAACATCATCACTTTGACGTGATTTCATGTTTTGTGATGGTTGATTGTGTTTAGTGGGTTAAAGGTTGTGATGGTTTATTGTGTTTAATGGGTTAAGGGTTGTGAGAGTAGAATATATGAGAAGAGAAATGAAAGGGAATATGTAAAAAATTATGAAGTAGGAGGTTGGTATTTATAGTGAAATTGGAGGTAAAAAAAAATGAAAAAAATAAATAAGAGATGTATGGGTTTTATATCTGATTTACGAAACACAAATCAGATAAAAATAGTTTTTCCGTCTCCATAATTATAATGGTTTATTTTTAAACCTTTACCTATGAAATTTGGTTCTAAAAAAGATAAAAAATACAACTTAAATGGGGTATCAGTTTTATTAAAAATACCACAAAACAAAACAAAATAATAAACACGGTTTTTTAGGCTGGATCGCCCCTGGGGGCGATGGGACAGTCTGGATCGCCCCCTAGGGTGAGGTCAAAGTTCAGTCTTCGAGATGAACAGTAATCTCGTCTTTTAAGACTGATTTTTTTTTAAGACACTTGATGTGGATCGCCCCCCACATGTACGGATCGCCCCCGTGGGCGATCGGGGTGGTCAAAACACAAAAACTAGAAAAAACTAGTTATTTTGTAACAAATAGTTGTATTAAATAATTATTTTTATAAATTTCTTTTTTGTTTTCTCCAATTTAATTTTTTCTTTTCAGAGAGATGTAATTACGTGGATACAAAGTCATAATTTCATAACAACGGTACCATTGTAATTTTACAAGAAGGGCAATATGGTAATTTCCACAAAAACCCAAAGTGCATTCATTTCACCTGGTGTCCACTTCGTAAACGATCAAAAGTGGGTGGACGCCCATAAATCATCCTTCAATGTTCAAAACCCCTTTTTTCATTTTCTCTAAAATCGAGAGAGAGAGAGAGAGAGAGATTGTAGACGAAAACCGAAATTCGTTTAATTCTCTCTCTATACAAATGAAGAGATCTTTGCCTGAAGATCCAATCGACGGCAGTACCGACGTTGACCATGATGGCAAGATGAAGAAGATCAAGCCATCGGAAGAAGATCCGGCTCCGGTGACGGAGGCAGGAACGGAGGATGTTCTGTTGGACGAAAACTTGCTCTACGAAGTCCTAAAGCACGTCGACGCTCGGACTTTAGGTGCGGCGAGTTGCGTGAGCAGGCAGTGGCATCGGACCGCCCGGGATGAGCGGTTATGGGAGCTGATCTGTACTAGGCACTGGACTAATATGGGGTGCGGCAACAACCAGCTCCGATCAGTGGTCCTTGCACTTGGAGGTTTCCGCCGCCTCCATGCTCATTACCTTTGGCCTTTATCTAAGCCTTCAACCACATCACAGTCTTCTTCCACCATCTCCGCTGCCGCTGTTGCATCCAGCTCGTCGTGGCCGTGCTTACCACCGCCGCGTACAACTGATCTTTCAAAGCCTACATCTCCCAAAACTCGTTGGGTAAAAGACGAGGTTCAGCTCTCGTTGTCTCTACTCTCGATTCGTTTCTACGTGAAGATGAATTACAATAACCGAAGCAAATGAAACCGAACAGAATCACGTCATGAAAAACATATAGCTCACTTCTATGTAATTCGTCACTTGAGTTTCTCCTTAAGTTTAATTTGATGTTTGTTCCTAATTTCAAGTATCAAAACATCTGTTCTTCTAAATCTCTAACCAAGAACAACATAAACTGTTGAAATTGTCTTTCCTTCTTACTACCATCAATGGCGTGTCTCTGTAAATTGATATTGGAACGAATATTTTGGTGAATTGTTGATGGTTTCTAAATTAAGGGTTCATTCAGAAAAGAGAATTGAGAATGTACCACGTACAAGATTGAATGCATGATGTACAAATGATTAATGCAATATAGTTGTGGATTTGTTGATTATGCGAGTGAGAAAGAAGAAGGGGATTCAAAAGTGAAAGAGGGGGTGAGCAGGTGAAAGTACAAGCAGAAGAAGACAATGCTAGATAGAGGGTTCTATGCCAGTTTGCTTTATTTAGGGAATGGTTTTGGGGGATGGGAAAAGGTTGAAGAATTTAAGGGGTGGAAATTGTCTTTTTGTGGGGTGTGGCTTTTGATTGTTTGTATGTGTGAATGAGAATGGAAAGGAAAAGATTATATAGAACTAAAAACAGCCAAGGAATAAGTGTACTTAATTACTATTATATATATATATATATATAGGGGTTTATTCAATGGAGAACTGAGTTGTTTGTGGTAACTGTAAGAACCAATCTCAACAAATCATTTTAACATATTAATTATACAATTAAAATCAAATTAAAAGGGTATGTTAGTCAATTTCTAATTTAAAATTAAATTTTAATTTTTTAAATTCAACCGTTTCAAATAAAATAAATTAATATTGATTTACATTCCTAAAATAAAATATTAATATCATTTAGTGAAATAATTTCAAAAAAATAAATCCATTTGTATAAACATGTTCATTATTATGATGAATCACATGAAATCACACATATTTGTTGAAGATTGTATCCATAATATTTAAGAATTAATGTTAT